AACCCTTCTTACTTCAGAGGGGATTAGGGAGATCCATACTCATGAAACAATGCAGTAATTGGAACATAGCCAAAATCATCTCCACATTCCTTGAAAGTCAATTCTCAGGAGCGAGTAAATGTGCAAAGCAGCAGCTGTTGTATTCTTGTTACTGACTTAAATTAGTTTGGAAGATGAAGAGACAGTACCGCCATCTTAAAATAATGCAATAACAACAAAATACCCCTTGTTTTTAGATAAGATTTTAAGAACCTGAACATAAAACAAAAAGGCAATAATCTGGTAAGGGAATGGCTGGCTAACTATTTTTTAAACTTGTAATTGTTTTTCAATATATAGTTGACATTTATTATAGTACTTCCTTCTGAATGGCTTGCAGTGTATATTGCTGGGTTTTGTTTTTTCAGCCCTCAGAAATTAACAATCCAGTTCTCATGCTTGATTCCCAGGCCCATTTCTTCAACATAGTGCTTGATACATGACAGCCTTGTAGCATCTGGAAGACTAACAAATGAATAGTGACGTGATTTCCTACAGCATCCACAGTTGGGACCATTCTGTGAAAATTTAGAACACAAGAAGGTTGTGAGTCTAAAGGACTCTCTGTTGTTCTTCTTTTAACTTAGTATGATGATTACTCTTCTGCATCTGAATATCAAGTTCCTAGTTGATCTTGGAGTTCCTTAGATGATTTTGAACCACTCTCTTTCATCCTACCTTCCTCACAGGCTTGCTGCTTGGGCTATAATATAAAGAGGGATCCTTCTCTTCCCTTTCCATGTATGGCACCTTCAGTCCCCAGAATAAAGGCCAGGCATGGCTTTAATAAATAAATAACTTGGATAGCATACCTCAAAAAGCCCAGTGAGTCCTGTCCCAGTTAGCATGATGGCTGGGAATTCTGGGAATTGCAGTTTCAGCAAACTGGGAAAGTACTAATAAGGCTAGGCTGAATTAGAGTATGAAGAGACAAAAAAGATCCTAAGTGAAAGGGGAAAAAATGTTAAAGAGCTCCTAATTCCAAGTATAGTCTTGTTTTCATAAAACTAATTCCTGTTTTTTCTCATAGAATTGGAACTGTTGTTTGATATTCCCTAATAAAAATACATATAAAGTGATAGGAGGTATATCCCTTTTAAAGAACCAAGCAGCGGCACACCCAGATAATGAAAACATTAGAAAATGGAAAGTTTGTGATCGGTTTTTTTTTTTTTCAGAATAGCAATTACTGCACAATGACAGCCACCCAAAAACTGCACTATTACAAAAATTCTGTGACTTGGAAGCTGTATTACAGATTGAAGATTTCATTAAAAATCAGGAAAAGAACAAACCTAATAAAATTGTAAGACCTGACATTATAAAACATACATGGTTATAATAACACAGTGAATGTGAAGGAAATAAAACCTGCTATATTTTGAAATAGTAACATTTGTAATACTAGGATCACTCTCTCTTAAAACAACTGGCTTTAGCTTAAACTTCAAAGCTTAGAAAGCTCAGATTTCTAATTTTGCTGAGTGACCGTTCATTAAAGAGTTGGTAGAACAACTCTTGGTACATTTTCGTATGTTGTGGATAGATCAGTTTACTTATTTAAATATAATGGCAAGTAGTAAGTTAAGAAAATATAGTAACTGGATTCAAAGAAAGTTATTTCTCTTCATTTCCTACAATCTGCTAGTTGGAATTCTTTATACTGCACTGATTAACAAGTTTTAACAGGACCCCAGCTGCACACTAAACAAGGGCTAATTCTACCTATTGACTTGCCTGTCAGGCCAGCCAAAGGATGTAGAACAGATCTTAAATCCTCTGCTATTCAGAGAAACAGGAAAACCTATCACAAAGGAATCCCCTTGGATAAGCCACTTTAGTTCTTTGGCCCCTATTGCAATCTGGTTCATTCTTCTCCCCTGCTTGGAATATATGCAGTCCAAAGATATATTTTCAGCAAGGGATAGTAATGACAAGCTTTTTTGCTAATATATCTTAAACCAGTGTTGTCCAAACTTGGCCACTTTAAGATGAGTGGACTTCAACTCCCAGAATTCCCCAGCCAGCCATGCATGGCTGGCTGAGGAATTCTGGGGGTTGGTCCACTCATCTTAAAGTGGCCAAGTTTGGACAACACTGTCTTAAACCAAGCCACAAAGGAGAACGTTGCAGGTATGCATATTAAGAAAAGAAGCCAACTTCATGCTGAACATGCTTCAAAGGGGAAAGAACAGTAGGGGGATTTAAACAATACAAGATACTTTGGAGAACTTTTATTATCTACTGGAAAAGTAAAATAGATATTCCACAAATTTTTCTCTCTTTGACTTATTAAAGACTTACACAGAGAGGTCTTGAGCCCTTCATCAACTCTTTAGCATTTTCAAGACACTTGCCTGCTTCCAGCACCACTTCCTTTCACTGAGGCAGAGGCTAAACAAGATCACCATCCTTATCGCTTTACAAGCTTTATTTACGCAAGCAAATGAACATTCATACCACTATAATCACTAAAGGAAAATAAAGCCAATGTTCTGTAAGAAAAACACCACTGCACAGCTTCCCACCACAAATGGTATGGAAATGCATCTTTCTTGCTTTCTGGTATGATTGATGGTTTCCCTTCTTGAAATATACACTCAACTCATTATCTAATCCAGGTTGTGTAACCTGTGGCCCCAAGCTCACATTGTGTAGCCTCCAAACTTCATCTAAAACTTCATCTAAAACTTGGGAAAGAAGCTGATAGCAGGCAGACGGATTCTCTTCTCTCCCTCTCTCCTGGAAAGTCCCTTCTTGAATGAGTTGGATTGTCTGCGGCTGTCCAAGTGAAGCAATTACATTTGTATATCAGATCCTGTCATACAACATGGCAAATATTTGAAAGTGAATTAAAGCCAGGATATTTGTTGAGCAAAATCAGCCAAGAATAACCAATAGCAAAACTGAGTCATGTCATCTTCTTTCAGGAGATCTCCTTTGGTATAAAGGAATGCACTAGCCTTTTGAGGGAAATCAAAATCTTTTTTTTTTTGGTCAGTTAGTTGTACATTTGCAGGGTAGAGCCAGACTATTTTTTTTTTTCTTATGGCAAGAGTACCAGTTGTGGGACATTCCTTTATCCCAGCACTCTTAAAATGTTTTCAATAGCCATACAGAAAAGTTCCAGATTTTGAAAATACAATCTTACACCTCTTCATGTGCTCAGTGGTACTTACTCTTAGCCTTACTAATGTTTCAGAGATGGAAAGATGAATGCATTCTACATCCATTATCACCAAATGATAATCTCCAGATTAATTAGGGCAACTGAAAATAGAACAGCATATATAACATGAGTTTGAACATGGACCAACCTTCACGAAGGCTAGGTAATTTGTGCATTTCTCCTGCATATACGACAGCTGCAAGTGTTCTGTGATCTGGCCCGTTGCTTCTCCAGAAGAAACAAAGTAAACCCTGATTGGATAACCTTTTTCTTTCTTTGCCACATCTGCTGTCAAATTATAATTCAAATCTAGACAAAAACAAAAACAAAAATCATAACACAGATTATTTTCTGCTGTTGACACGAGTTTTTCACTATTATTATGAAATCTCAGTATATTTAGAAGTATGTCACTTCTGCACTATGCTCACCTCTACCCTGTAGAAACAGATCCCAATCTCAGAAAGAACATTTGCAAATTTAGATAAATGCCACCATTTTAGAGCAAACCAGCACAACCTTGAATGCAGCTAATTAGCCATGTAGGAGGGCCTACTTAGTGTTTCAGATCCCTAGTTCTACAGATCATAAGCACCAGAAAATGCAAAAGAGCTTCATTCCACTTATTCAGTATCAACTTGTACAGGCTTATGCTAGAAGGAAGGAAGGAAGGAAGACAGACTTTAATTTCTCTACACCCATTAGTGTTACAGCCTCAACAAACAAGTGTCACCTAGATATTTTTTCACAAGTATCTTAAACGCTCAATGTCATTGATACTATTACATCACCTCCGGACACATCAACAAAGCGTATACAGACTTTTAAACACCATTTAATATGAAGCAGAAGATTTCTAGCGTTCCCCACAATTATAAAAACTGTATTGAATAATATAAAATCTGGCACTTCGCTAGCACACTTCCCATTACAATCAACATCCTAATGGGAGAATGGAAAGTTCCAGTAATACGAACAAAATTAAATTGCATGACTGTATACGTGACAGTGACAACAGTCTCCTGTGTCTTTGTCACAGATAATATAATTAGAATCCATTCTGAATGATGCAGATTTATTTTAATTAAGTGTGCCACACATCTGGTCTGTTTTGTTTCATTTTGTTTCCCATTTTAGTCAAGTTCTCATATCATCTAACCCATGTCAAATCCTTCCTCAGGGGCAGAGGAGCAATTATTAGCAGACCACAAATACAAACTGTACATATTGGTTTTAAACTCAGCTGAGACTCTTCAGGCTAAAAGAGAGGTCAGGCACCAGATGCGGAAAGAGTATGGAAAGGGCAGGGAAATATCCTGACTGAGCACAAGTTGTGTTTGACAGATGAAATAGTAACATATGCATATCCATTCGAGGCAGAAGCTGAGAGCCTGGAGTCCTGCTCTTCGTAACAAACTAGGTCATCATTATAAGCTTGAACAACAGGAGTGACAGGCTAGTTTCACAGTAGTGTCAGACTGGGATCTGGGTTCAAATCTCTGCTCAACCATGAAGGACCTGTTGAGTGATCTTGAGCCAGCCCTTATTTCTCAGTTTATTCTACTTCATTCTACTACTATGCGAATTAAAGGAGAAAACCAAACCACTAGGCTTATTTGGCTATAGAAATAAATTAATATATCCCTCTAAAGAGAAACATATTCCAATTTTTATAATCTAGCCCTTCTGGTGGTTGACTGCCACCCCATTGTACTCCCTGCAGCTTTGGATTTTTATAATGTATTATTTATTAACAAAATGTTTAAATAAAATGCTTTTTTAAAATAATTTTTATTCAAAGTTTTAACTACAATAATAAAAGATAATATAATTTGTATTAAACAGAATGCTGAAATAAAATCTGGGCGGGTTACAAAGTAAAAACAGCAACATAAATTCAAACATCCCCCAAGCTATAATTCTCCCGCCTATCCCCCGGGTAATGGGAAGAAGGAATAATTCTGAGGAACAGGAGAAACAGCCGCAACCAAGACAATGGCAGATAAAACAAATCTGAGTCCAGGCCAGAACTGTAACCTGAGTAAGTGTCTCAGACAAAACCCTCCTTCCCTTTATCTTCATGAGAGCTAGGGAAGGGTCTTGTCTGAGATGCTTACTCAGGTTACAGTTCTGGCTCAGACTCAGATTTCTCTTATCTGCTGTTGTCTTGGTTGCAGCTTTCTCCTGTCCTCAAAGTATTCCTTCTGCCCATTACATGGTGCCCCCCACCCACAAGTAAAATAATGTCCAAAGTCTTAATGGTTACCCAGTTACAACCAGATTAGCAACTGAAAGTCCACTGAAAAATAAGCATCTTCAGCAAGAGACTCTGATGTACCTCTACAGATGGTGCATTCTACAATGTCTTCTGTCCCATGCTACTCTCACCTTTCAAGAACATAGACCCTAAATAGGCCTTTGCTAGATGACTTCACAGGAGATACAAAGTCTGGAAGCTTACTGGCAATCAATGCAATTGCTTCAGAATACTGTAGGTATTATGCAGCAGTAATGGGCTCAACCTACCAGCATTGTGATTGATGTGTTCTGGACTAGTTGTAGCTTCCAAATCATCTTAAAAGGCAGCTTCATATAAGAGTGAGATGCACGAGAGTCAAGATGTGATGATCAGAGAACAAGGCAACATCACCAAGGCTTCCTGGTACAGTTTATCAAATTAACACTATGGAAAGGTATTTTCTGAATGCATTTAAGAAATGTAACTTTCTTTTTAAAAAAGGCTCTTCTTTGGGAAAGCCTACTATTGAAAACAGCAATTCTTGCCACTTCATCTTGCTCTTATATGCCCAGACTGATTCATCTCACTCATATGGACTTCTGATACTTAGCCTGTTCCTTGACTAGGCTCGACATGTCCTGTGGACATCATGGATATCATCTGTTATCATGATTTTTGGACTGGATCTTAGTCAAGATCCAGTCCAAAAATCACAGTAACATCCAGATGGCCAGATAACATCATCTGTTACCATCATCTTGATAGCATCATCTTGACTAAGATCCAGGCCAAAAATTATGGTAACAGATTATGTTATCTGGCTACATTCCCCCTGCTGTTAATATCATATATGGTGGCCTGTTTGATGTTCTCCTTGGCTTGGACAGCTAAGACAGAATACCCAAGTGCAATATGCCCCTGCATTGCTGACTCTTTAGAACTGCTAAATAAAGAACTCCTAAAGTGACAAGCAAACCATGACAGAGTGCTTGGCGGGTTACACTCAACTTCACAGGTAATAAACTGTGGATTATAGCTACCTCACAGATATCACTTAGATCCCTCCACATGGTAGCTGTCACCAGGCAATGAGCTGTCAACATGTGCTGTGGTTCACCATGCAAACAAGACCATTTGCAAAGAAAACATACAGAATCCATCCAATGTGTGAGGCAACTGGCTGTATATAAAATGACTTGGCAAATTGTGACCACAGCCCTCTCGTAGAGCAAGTCAAAACATGCTCCTTATGCAACTGTCATAACATGTGCACTAACCCTCAAAAAGAACGGAAAATGATCCAGAAACCACTCCTCTGCAGTCACGGCCACGTTCTTTCTGAGCAACAGTTGACATTTCCGAATAGGTTCAGCAATGTATTAAACATCTTTCTCCACTTTTGTTTTTGGCATGTGTGACCAAAAATGTAGAATTACATTCTGACTCACATTATTCAGGGAGGTCTAGGTCAGATCTGTTCATATTAGAATTGACTGAGACTGAGTTCTACAAAAATCCATATGTTTGGGCTATCCAACCCAGGTTTCAATATAAATGTAGGCACATTTATTTTATTACAATGTTAAAATCAATTTAATTTTTTCCTTCTAGAAAGTGGTCAACAGAACACAGCCATTGCATAGCAATATACAGTTGTTTGCCTGTCTTCTTAGTGAAAAATGCTGATCTCCAATATAAAAAGGCAGTCTGAGATTTCAGCTTTGCCATATTCCCATTAAGTACATGGAATCTGTATTGTAATTTACAAAATATGCTGCCTAACTAAACGAAGATACATATCACAGTTTAAAAAATGCAAACTATTTGCATGAGCACTACCAATGACCCCATTTACTAGAAGAGCAATAATTACAGTTGTAATAGCAATTACAATTATAATAATCCACATCTCAATTTAAATGTACCAAAACAAAATAACAGTTAAACGGGAAACAAGCCTTTTGCAAACATTAGAAGTTAACACATCGGTGACTTCAATCATGAAATAAAGTAGCATTTCTTAAAATAGTTCCTGGATTGTTTCTGGTTTATGAAATTTATGGAAGAGGAGGAAGAAGTCCTGTACATTCCAAATTCTCCTTCTGAACATGCAACTTTCAATAACGCACATTTAATCATGCACAAGTGACTTATCAGAATTTACCATAAAAGGCTCATGACAAGACCATTTCTGGGTTCTAAATGCTGTAGCAATAAATCCGTCATTTTTCAACCAGAGTTAGGAATGAGAGAGAGATTGGTTTGGTTTCCGTTTGTATATATCCATTTGATTTATTTATTGCATTTATATGCCACCATAATCCAAAATAACTCTCAGGAGTTAGCATTTCAATATTAATTTACCCAGTTCACACTCCCCAATGGAAACACGTTATACTCTGCCAATTACTAGTTTCTGAATTTTCCAATATAATTTTCTAATTAAAAGTTGCATACAAATATATATATCAGGAAAGGGATGTGAGAGTGTGCATACACTCACATATATACAAATACAAAAGTCTATATTAGTGAAAATAATATAAAAATTATATTGGGGAAAACTAGGGGAAAAAGTAAGATATTAGAATTAATGGACACACACACACACACACCCCATTTAGATTAATGAAAAGTTTGTGGAAAAGTGAATGTGATTGATTCATTCATGTCTATTCTAGTCCTTGGAACAACAGAGAGCAAAGAAGCATCATGACTAAGAAATTGGAACATAGGTCAGTAATTCTTTGGTTCCAGTTTCTCTTTTGCTCTAATTCAATAGGTAGCCTCAGGAAGAACATCTGATTGATTCATATGCAATACTAAGCAATCATGTGGTTTGGTTTCAGTGTAACATGATCTGCAAACCCAATTAATGAAATAGGTAGACTGGCTGCAATGGCTTTGCTTTATATATAAACAGCCGCTAGTCAGTTGGAATTTGGACTGCAGGAATTGAGGCTCAACCTCGGTTTATTTTTAGGGCTCACCTCCCCCGGAAAGAGCAAATAATGGGGATGCTCTTTGACCCTCAGCTGCACTGCAGTTGCAGGTGGTACCTTAGGGGGAGGTGTCTTTACACAAATATACTTAGTTTCCCTTCCTGAACTAGTCAGCTTAGACCAGTGTTTCTCAACCTTAGCCACTTTAAGATGTGTAGACTTCAACTCCAAGAATTCCCCAGCCAGCATATGGGGAATCCTGGGAGTTGAAGTTCACACATCTTAAAGTGGCCAAGGTTGAGAAAGACTGGCTTAGACAATGGTTACATCCCATCTTATCTTCTGCAACCCACTCTGTGTAGAGCTACTCTTGAAAATATATGGAAATTTGGAATTGATGTGAACGGCAGCAGTCCAACTGTTAACCAGCATATAGTATAGGGATTAAATGATGCCTGATGGTCAATTCAGCATAATTCTAGGTGTTGGTATTCATTTAAGGGAGCAAATCTCCCAGTATGAATCTTTCTAGCTTTTAAGAACTGCAGGAGAGGCCCTTTTAAAGATGTCCTCAATGTTGCAGGCCAGTCTTTCTGACAGACAAACACTGCATCTTCTGCATTGCTCCCAGACTACAAATATGCTTTCTCAGGAATTTGCATTTGGCCGCCATTTTCAACATTTAGAAGACCTGTAAATATGCCTCTTTTTACCAGGCATTTCATCATAAGATTCTTTCAGTATCTATTTTATTTTAAAATGCATTTACCTTTTTTACATTCTGTTCTTGTTTTTTAAAACGTTGTTAGCCACAATATTTCCTAGAGCAGAAAACTAGGGCATAAATCAACTAAACAAATTAATAAATAAACCAACCCAAACTTTCAGTCTTGGACTGGCAACTGCAGCACCAACATGATGCTACCAGCCTAACAACAAGATGGTTAAAATTAATACTGGAAAAAAGCTATGGAAAATGCTTTTAACATTGAAATGTTAATAAATGTTATTCATGATGTAGCATTACTGGGGGCCAGGAGATAA